GGGATGGGAACAGGGCCTGAGGTATTAGGGACCCCCCCAGTCAGGGCTCATAGGGGAATGGGTCTTGTCATAGGGCATTGGCAGCTCTGTGGAGAAGCTGCTTTGTGCCCAGGGTCACTCAGTCAAAGGGGATCATGCTGGTGCCTTTAGGCTGGGGGGCAGAACCCTGTCACATGCCTCTCGTGCAGCCTTGTGGTGGTTTTGGTGCCCCACAGAAACTCCAAGATGCTTGCCATCCACTTTGTAGAAAGGAGAAAGAGGCAGACTCTTTCTAGAGCTTGTTCTCTAAAACCCTGATGGAAAATTCCTCCTACTCTCCACAGCGTGACAGCAGACAGACGTACAGCAACGTCCTTGAGGAAAATGAGGCATTTCTGCAGCTAGAGTCCCTCAAGAGGTGCAGTGTTAGAGAGGAGTATGGTGACAGCGGTGTCCTGCAGGCAGCTCCAGGAACGTGCTCACACAGTGCCAGCAGGCGGCCTGAGCCCTGCTCCATCAGCCTCAGGTTGCTGCTCTGGGGGCACAGAGACCCAGTCACAGCATCACTGAGTTCAGAGAGTCCACCAAGGAGATGCTGGCTGGCCCTGTGCCACAGGAATGTGATATGAGGGTATTTCATGAGGACGCCGATGTTGTCACGTCGTGACATGGCATGCTGACATGTCAGAGAGTGCCTCTTCCTCTTTGGAAGCAGGATCTGCACCTTTGACTGCCACAGCAGAGACTCAGGAGTGCTGGACTGGGAAGGATTGCTGCATCACGGTTCAAAGCTCAGTCACACCTTGTAGTCTCCTTCAGGAAACCCAGAGACTCTGCTTTGAACCTGGTTCATTTTTTTTCGTCTCACTGCTCATATCAGAAGACTGCTCTGCAATGTTGCTGCTCTGACGATTGGAAATGTTCTGATTTTCACCCTAACTTTATTCACACCCAGACTGTATTCACTGCACTTGTGCCTAGGCTGTCTGCTAGCTCTTTTCCTTCTTTATTTAAGCTGATGTTATCTGCCTTTGCTTACCAATTTGCCTGCTGGCTGGAATTATGCACAGAAAAGAAGTTTCCCATGCCCTACGTGAGGTTGTTTTAAACTCTCTAAAGGAGCTAAATAATTATTCTTCATCTAAGGGTGACTGAATGCAGGCTTTATAGTATGACAGCATCATTTATTCACAAGGGGATATTTGCACCCTCAGTGTAAAGAATGCTTTGAAACTGTTTTTTTTTTAATTTTTTTTTATTTTATGAAGATCCATTAACAGTGTTTATAACATTTCTCATGCTCTGCTCTTGCTTTTGTAAGGCCCTGCGCAACAAGGAGGGAGCAGGTGAGCTCAAAGACTGCAAGGTGAAACTGCTTGGAAGGAACAGAAATGAATGACTGTTCAGATTGCAGTGGAATCACCTACATGCGTAGTGGTGCCAGGTACAGGAATCTGAGGGGGTGAGGGAAGGGGAGGCAGGTTTATTTAAGGCTGAATTGTTTCAATTTTAGTTACTTTGGGTGCGAGCAAAACTTCATCCAGCAAACAGTGCGGGCTTAACAAAGCATCATTTTCAACTGTGGTGCGAAAAGCTGAGATTAGTCTTCTGTAAGCCTGAAATCCCAGTTCTCCTCAATTAAATTATCGCTTTAAGGGTGCTTAAAAAAGCAGTCTTCTTCCTTCCTGCCATCCCTTCCACCCACTCGTGCTGTTCTGGGCATGCTGTGCAGTACAAATGCTTCTGCTGTCACCATACAACAGGTTGGAGAGCTGATCTAAGTGAGGAATACTTGTAAAATATTCTTGTCCTCCTGCCCTGATCAGCTCTCTGCTGAGTTCGTGCCCCACACATATCTGTGTAGGCTCAGGGCAGGGGCTTCTTAAGCACATGGATCATCTCCTTGGTGAGTGCTCATCAGATTGCCCTGCCAACACCGGCAGCACTTTGTTGGTTTAAAGCTGGACTTAGCAATGGCTGTGCCACAGCTTTTGGACAAAGAATGGAAAGATGAAGCTGTAAAGGTACGTGATGTTGCGCAGAGCATGCGAGCTGCAGACAAAAGTAGGCTGAAAACTTGGGTGTCTGTGAGAAGAGCGATAAGAGGCATTCAGAGCAACCAAAGGAAGGCACTGAGAGAGTGAGAAAGCTCTTCTTTTCGTGCAAGCTCCCTTAGCCCTGGTACTGACTGCCAGAGTGCTGTCGGGTGGCACTGGGATGTCAGAAGGATGGGCAGTAGCACTAGTGATGAAAATTAATCAGGAATTTTGGAAAGGCTGCAAGCCTTCTTTGTCCAGCAAATAGCTGAGTCCATGGTTATGGGGGGGTCAGGAGTCCCACCTGTAAACAGGATGTGATTTCAGAGGGTTTGCCCGTGTTGGTGCTCAAACTGTTACATGAGAAGCTCCCTCTGCTGAGAAACCAAAGCACATTTCAGCGCCTTGAACAAACAGCGTGGAAGGACACAGGCTGCAGCATGGCTCTGTGTGGCACCTGGGGGTTGGCAAGTGTTTGTCCTGATACTGAGGAATACATCCTGTGACTGATGAGAGGTGTTACATTGGAGCTTTAGAGGTTTAAGGAAAAAATACAGGAGGGTTGGGGTTGGGACCCCAGTGATCACCTTTGGACGAAGCAGATGTGGGGTGTGAGATAAAGTCTGGAATATCTGTGGGATGGGGCCCAGCATTCAGAGCCTGTTTGCTGTGTTGGGGAGCAAGGTCAGCACATTCTGCCAAAAAAACGTGCCGAGAGCTGTGGTGTATTCACTAAACCCAGCTTTACAACCACTGGGATTTATAAAAGAATCACTTGTCAAAACAGAGAGCAGGGCTGGGAGAGGAAGGCAGCCCTGCATTCATTGTCACAGGGCCAGTGTCCTCAGCAGCCCCTGCAGTGTGGCTGTGGTGGAGGAGCTGGGTGCTGGAGCAGCTGGGGGCCAGCACTGGGCTTACAGGCTGGGGTAGGGCTGGCTGTGTAGGAGAGGCAGCAGCTGGGCAGTGCTGATGAGCCTTCATGGCCCAACACAGCCACTGTGCAGGGGCAGCAGGCAGAAAAGTGACTGTGCTATCAGAGAGCCACAAAGGCTGGAGAAGATCCCCAAGCCCAACCCATCCTAACATACCCACTGACCACATCCCTCGGTGCCACATCCCACAGCTCTGGAGCACCTCCAGGATGGGGAGTCCAGCTGTGAGTCCTGTGCAGCTGTGCCACTGCATCACCGCTCTTTTGGAGAGGAATGTTTTCCTGCTATCCAACCTGAAGCTTCAGGTGATGGTGGTCCCCATCTCCTTCTATCAGTGAGATCCAGGAGACGCTGACTGTGCTGGGAATCAGAAAGGAGCTGCAGTCCCTGAGAGGCCCCCCATGCAATAAATAGTTTGGAGTAGTGATGTAACACACACGTGTGCCCGTGGCCTCCAGGATGCCCAGGGTGAACTGCTGCAAAGGCAGCTGGGGAGCACACACAACCCATTTGGGGCTGATGTGGTGCTGAGGGCTTGCTGATGTCACCAGAAGCAAATACAGGAGGATGTCTTATTCTGCAGGCCAAATTTTTCTCCTTTTCTCCAGCAAGTCTGCATGTGTGTTTGGCCCCCTGGTACCAGATGTACTCACAGCCCCTTTCCCTCCAAATAAAGCTCAGACTTTTGCTGCCTTGGCCATCGCCATCCTGCTGTCACTCAGTCACCTGTCTGCTTTCATTTATTTCAACATTTTAAGCATTTTATGGCCCCACACCCAGATGATGCAAAGCGCTAAAACTGCAGGCTGTGCTCCAAAAGCATCAAACCTCAGCTCAGTGCAGGATCCAGACCTCAGGGTTTGGTTACCTAGGCCAAGGGAAAATAGAAATGCTGTGTGGAAAACAAAGAAAAGGAAAAAAAAAGTGGAAAAGGGGGAGCTGAAACAAGTGCTCCAAGATGTTGGTTATGTAAAGACTGCACAGCTATAAAAATACCCCATTGTTCCAACCAGAAGAAACTCTATTAGTCTTATCAGGGATAAATGTTGCTCAGTTGCTCGTCCCTTTCAATTGCCTTTGTTGCAGCCCACGCTGTGGTGCAGCCCCCATGGCTGTGAGGCTGAGCAGCAGCTTCGTGAGGCTGTGAGGAGCTGCAGCCCGGGGCTCAGCAGCAGCACAAGTGTGTCCACAAGATGTCTGTGTTGAACGCAGCTGGAGCTCACAGTTTGTGGAGGTGCTCAGCAATCACAGCGTGGTGTGACAGCTGCTGGTGAGATCTGCCTGCACCTGTGGGAACAGGAGCATGCGTTGATCCAGCTGCCACTCACACAGCTCATCCCAAATCTCAGATCAGAACGCCCTCAGCTTGTTTGAAATCCAGCTATGCCCACGGCTGCTGCGCAGCAAGGAGATCCAACTGGAATGAGGGAATGGAGGGCTCCACAAAGAGAGGAGAAGCACAGAAATCACAGAGTGGTGGGGATCCACTTATACACCATAGGGTACCGGTGTGCCAGGAGGATATGCAGTAAGGTTCCAGTGTCTCACCCATGGGGTGCTGATGTCCTACCTGCAGGGTGTTGGTATACCACCTACAGGGCAGTGGGGACCCACACAGAAGTTACTGGTGTCCCCATCTATAGGGTAAGGGGGACCCACGCAGAGGTTCCTGGTGTCCCACCCACAGGATACCAGTATCTCGCTCGTAGGTTCCTGGTACTGGTTCCTAGGGTACTGCAGCCCCAGCCACACAGCAGTGATGTGTGTGTCCCACTGGCTGTGCTTTCCTCATCTCGCAGCCCTCTCCCCACCTCCTGCACCCCAAGGACCCCCGAGGGCTGTACCCTCACCATCCTCAGACACAGCCACAAACCCGGCCCATCGAGCACACCCCCCAGCCAACCCCCGAAGATGAGAATGCCGCTCCCCATCCCCGACCTCCATCCCCCCCTCTCCTAGGAGATCGCGGACCCCGAAGCCCACGATGCAGCTCCCGGGAGCTCCGCGGGGCCCCGCCGCCGCCGCCCGCCCCCCGCCCCGCCCGGCCCCGCCCGCCCCTCGGGCCGAGCTCCGGGAGCCGCCGGGCGGAACGGGGTCGGAGACGGCGGGTGAGTACGGCACGGGGACCGCGGGGATCTTCCCCGGGTTGGGGGGGGGAACGGCGGCTTGTGCCGGAGGAGCCCCGACGTGCTGCGGGGACGGGACGGGCTGTGCGCGCCGCGGGTCCCGCTAGCAGCACGGCGATGGGATGCGGCTGGAAAGTTGGTGAGAGCCGTGCGTCCGGACTGTGCCACCCCCTGATTGCTGACAGCGCAACACCACCAACGCCGACAAATTCAGTCCGAGGCAGAAAGGAATCTTCTTAATTTGGCGCTGACGCATTGGTGCGTCTCCGTTCCTCTTGGCACGTCGGTGCGCTCAAAGTCCTCCATCGTGCGGTGGAAGGATGGGTGGGAGGCGGGTCCTGCTGTCCGAAGGGGTTCGGAGCGCTTCTCGTTTCTCGTTTTTCTGGAAAAGAGTGTTTCTCCGAGCAACGCTCGGTAGTCCCTATGAATCACCATCTGCATAACTTTATATGGGGGCTGCTATTCTCAGCATCTCGCTGGAACTATGTAAACTATTAACCTCTGTGTCTGTTTGGACACGCAACATGCAAATCTTTCTCCCGGCTACGCGTGGTTCAGGGCGGGTCGAGGGAGATGGGGCAGAGCCAAGCGTGCCTCGGATGCTGGAGATGGGAGCTCGGAAAGGGCATCCGGCAGCCTCCCTTGTGGGCGCTGCGCTGGGGGTCCAATGGGTCCAACGGTCCGATGTGCCGACAGCAGCCGGGATGAGGGCTCCTCCGGATGCTTCCTTGTTCTTTTCTAACGTGGTGCGTTCAAAGGGCTTAGAAGGATGCTCGGGGAGAGCCGTGCCAGGTCGAGGGCGGACGGGGAGGTTTTGCCGAGGGGATCGCGGCGGTGGTGACAGCGTGAGCGGCCGCCCCCGCGCTGGGGGAGCGTTCAGCCCCGCGGGTTTTGTCAGGAGAGAAGGGCTCATTCTTGTGCTGTCAATCTGCCACCTCCCAGAAGCTCTCCTCCTCCTCCCCCCGCTCCCAGATACGTGCAACGCGGGGGCTGAAAATCCCCTTCCCCCCGGGTGGGAACTGCAGCATCTCCCAAACCTCCCAGCCCCGAACACGGAGAGAGCACTTTTTCTCCATGTCAGCTCGGTTCCTTTCTGTTCAAAAGGCATCCCCTCATTCTGAGGTGAAGCTCTGACTCATGTCGGGCCCAGATGTGACCTCTGGCTGCCACTGGGTGCCCCTGGCTGCTGCTGGCAGCAATTTGGGCTTGTGGCCGTGGGATGAGAACCGTGCACACCATCTGTGCTCCCTGTCCTGTGGACTTCCCAGCTCTCCTTTCTTCTTGGATTTCTTCATTAGAAGTAGATAAGATCAGACCATTCTTCTTTCACTACAAATTCATTTCACTTTCCATGCAGTGAGCCCATCTGATAAATAGTGGCTCAACATAACCCAGCTCCTCCTGCCCTTGGTTGCACGCACAGTGCAGGACTGGTGGCCCCAGCCCCGTGTCCAGCAGGTTCCTGGCTTTTATTGGAGGTGGGGATGGATTCCCACTCTGACCTGAGCTGTCTGGCACAGGGGAGTAGCTGCTCACATGGCGTCTAAAGACCTGTCCTGGGCAAGCTCATGTAGCCTCCTGGCTGTGTTTCCCTGTTTCACACCAGCATCCCTGTGGCTTGTGGGGGTGTCCTTGGCCATTGCCCCCGAGAAAGCAAGAAGTGGTGCAGCGCCTGGTCCTGGCACGCAGGGTTTTGAGTAGCAGCACCAGGCACCTACTGTCACCATGAGGCTAATTTGTATCTGGCTTCAGATGAGAAAAATGTGCACTGATAATGCTGAGTGATGACATCTGAGATTTGCATCCCCTCCCTGCCTCCTCTAATAAGCCTTGCTTTGATCAGAACCCCAGCTGGCATTCCTCTGAGGTGGGGAGGCAGTCTGCAGCAGACCCCAGAGACAAGAACCATACAATCCCTGGAGCCGCCCCGTAACTCGACTGCCCGTGGTTCTCATTTGGGGTGGGAGTGTTGTGTCATCTCTTTTGCACGTTTATGTGCATTTGAGTGCGTTTAAGTGACCAGTGACATAATCATGGCTTTATATGGGGGCTGTTGATGTCCACACTGGGGTCTGGGAGAAGTTCTTTCCTCAGAGTTGGGGAGGCCCCATCAGTGCCCAGAGCTGCGGTGCCCCATTCCTGGAGGTGCCCACAGCCACGGCTGGGCCCGGGGCAGTTGGAGCTTGGGGCAGCCAGCCTGCAGCTGGGGTGGGACTGTAGGTCCCTTCCAACCTCAGCCATTCTGCTGTTCTTTGATTCTATGTAGGCGGTGGGTATCGAGTAGGAAGAGGACACTGAAGCGCGCAACCCTTGGAAAAGTCCCGGCTCTGGTCCTGGAGGTTTCTTCCACACCTTCGTCCCTCCCACCCCTCTCCTGTGTTGCAGGCCGTGAGCTCCCATGCATTTCCTCTGCCAGCCGTGCTAACGTCCGAAGGATGGTGGCCTCCTCGTTCCGTTACGGCGTCACCATCACCGGGGTCGTGCTGTTGGTGACGGGGACGCTGTGCTTCGCCTGGTGGAGCGACGGGGAGGTGGGCACAGCAGTGGGCAGCGGGGCTCACCTCCTGCCCCCCCGCGAGGCCCAGGCTGTGCCCAGCTCTTCCAACGCGCTGCTGCGCTCCGTCAGCTTCTTCTGCTGCGGCATCGGTGGCATCCTGCTCCTCTTTGGGCTGCTCTGGTCCGTCAAAGCCAACGCCAGCGTGGTGTCACGGCGCTATCAGTACCGCTTCCCCCACGACCTGCAGTACTTCACTGCTGAGCCCCCGGAGAAGTGGAACTGCAGGTGGGTGTGGGTGCTGCTGCGTGCTCAGCTGCTTGAACCCTCTGCTCCTGAGCGGATGCTGTTGTGCGTTAGCATCAACCCGTGCTTCCGTGCACACGCCGGCTGCTCCTGCACTGTGCTCATCCTCCAGCAGCACTTCAGCCCTGCGGGGCATTGGGTGTCTGTGCAGAGCCAGAGAGCAGAGGGCTGCAGTGATTTTCTGGGCAATGGTGTTGGCCAACCCCATCCCCACGCACAGTGTGGGAGCTGTGTGACGTCCTGTGGCTCCTTGGCCAGTGCCACTCATTCTTCGGTGTGCATAGGGAGTGTGCTGCACTGTTTTTGATGGTCTTTAGTGAACGGGATGAATTTATGCTGCTCTATAGAATGACTGGGTTTGTGTTATCTATACCAAAATGGGGTCAAAACTAAAAAAGGAAAAAAAATCAATTATCAGGTTGGCATTAAGTGGGATGGGACTGCAGCACTAAGACGTATTACTGACCCAGGGGGTTGGTCCCTGGCTCTGCAGGGCTTTTGGTGCTCATCCAATTATCTGGGGCTCTGTGAGCTCGTGTGGGGCTCTGGTAGGCTTCACATCAGTGGAGCAGTGTCCCCAGCACGGCGCCCATAGCGATGGAATGGCATCACCTTGACATCACCCTGCCACTGCAGCAGGAGCCATCGCTGAGCATTGGCATCCTGCATGGGGAGGGCAAAGGTTGGGCGGAGGTTTTCCCTGTACACAAGTTGTGTTTGCTCAGCAAAGTGCAGCTGGAAGCAGCAGCAGCAGAGCTGGCACATGGAAGGCCCAGGTGAGCGTGAGGTGGGCTGGGACTGCACTGAACAAGAAAGCCCAGCTCTCACCTGGTTGCTCGTGCAAACCGCCTGCTCAGCTCCCAGCAGCCCCTGTGCTTTAGGGGTGGCTGTGGGGCCCTGGAAGGGGTTTGGTTGTTAAGAGGATGCTCTTCTGCCCACAAGAAGCACTGTGGCACAGAACAGGACTGAGAGGCACCACCTCTACTGCTCTGCAGCCAGACACATGCATGTGGCCCTTGGTGCCAGAGGTGGCACCTTGTGGGGCTGCATCTCCTCTTCCTCAAGGTGAGGTCAGTCAACTCAGAAGGAACAGATGATGGTGTCCATCCTCCTGCACAGCTCCTAGCCCTCCTGGTGCCAGGCAGCAGCTGACACAGTCTCCCCTTGTCTCCAGGTGTGCAAAACCTACCCAAGTACCGCCATTAGCATGCGTGTGTCCCCATGCTCAAGGATGCTCTGGCTGATGGGGCAGTAGGAAGCTCCAGTTGTCAGGGAGCTGGATGATCCCATTGGTGGGCACTGGGATGGTCTGGTTGATGGGCACTGGAATGCTCCCATTGTTGAGCACAGAGATAGTCCAGTTGAGGCCACTGGGAAGATCCAATCAACTGGCATTGAGTTGCTCCCATTGATGGGCCCTGAGATGCTCCCACTGATGGTGTGCACTGCTGGGTGCCTTCTTCCCTCGCAGCTCCTGGGACGCCACTGCCATCCCCACCTACGAAGAAGCCCTGACCTGCAGACCTGCTCATGGCACGTACCTCCACCCCGCAGTGAGCAAGGAGGAGCTGACACCACCGCCATATCATGACTTGGAGGAGGAGGAGGAGGAAGAGGATGAGCGTTGGCAGAGCGGCCGCCGCCGCAGCTCCTCCGACAGCGCCTTGTTCCGCCCCAGCCCCTCATGGTTGGACACCCAGAGCCCTGCTGGGCCACAGGAAACGCCGCCCCCCAGCTACGAGAACATCAGCATTCGGGGTGTCTGACTGAGCCCCGTCCTTCAGCAAGGGGAGAGCACGGGTGGCACGGGGCTGTCCTCCATTCTGAGCAATGCATCTGGGACAATGTTCACAGCTGGCATGTTGGAAGCCTTCGTGTTTTTAATAAAACCACCTCTGGTTGCAAATGTTTGGTGTTTCAGTATGGAAACCCACACTGGCTGCCCTGCCCAACCCACATTGGGTTCTGCCCCAAAGGGGGAAGGAATGACAGCAGTGAGCGATCGCCCATTGTGCCATGATGGAGCACGGCCACCCCCAAGGTCCCACCAGCACTCAGCCACTCCAAGCAGGAGCTGGAAAACACACCTGCAGCAAGGAACATGGTACAGAGCTGGGGGAAAGCAGGCAGATCCCAGCTGGGACTGCAAGCAGGTTGGGAGCAGAGGTCTGGGCTGTGCCAAGGAGAGCGGGGGCAGTGGGCAGTGCAGCACGGTGTGTGCTGCCTCTCTTCTGTGTCTTCCCCTCCACACATCCTCTGCCTCCTCCATGCCCCCCACTCTCACCTGTCTCTCCTGCCTTGCTCCCAACGCTCACTGACTTCCCACGCCTGGCTTCACATTGCTCAGAAATGCTCAGCTGCTCACGCGTGTGCTCAGGGTGTCGGTGTGCATTTGTCATTTCACACAGAGAAGACATCTGGGGTTGCTCAGCCCCCATTTGTGTGCAGTGCAATGGATAAACCCACAGCTGGGGTGGGTGGCTGCATCCCGGGGAGCTCAGCAGTGCCCAGGGAACCCCTGCAGGGCTGCAGGGTGTCTGCAGAGCCACAGCCAAACATACACCTACATACTGATGTACCTCTGCTCCTACACACCAATGTCTCTGTACACCTATACACATGTATACCTATACATCTATGCACCACTGTACCTATATAATATACACATCTATGTAATTTAATACCTGGGGGCTGAGGATTTGCCCAGTGCTGAGTCTGCAACAGCCGACCCCACTCAACAACCCTGTTTCTTATCCCAGGCTATGAAAACACCTGTGGTGGCCCAGTCCCCGTATTGCCAGCATCTTGCTGTTCCTGTCCCATCACCTCGCTGTCCCCATCCCCTCCCTTGTGCCCGCAGGGAAGGTTGGCTGGGCACGTGCCGGGCAGCTTCACTGGAGTGTGAACGCGGGCTGCTGTTTGCATTCATTACAAAGCCATAAAAACTGGCTGGCTCAGCCCTGGGCAGGACCAGCCCCACTCACAGCCGATCCCCAGCCCCCGGCAGGCTCCGCAGTGAGAAACCACTCCTGCCGTCCCCGGAGGTGTGCTCGGCACAGAGCTCCCGGCGTCAGCCCTCCCACTGCCTGCCCATGGCCGAGGAGAAGACGTTTCGCTACGGGTTCATCATGCTGGGCTTCTTCCTGGTGATGACGGGGATGTTCATCATGAGCGTGGAGAAGCCCCAGATCTACGCCACCTTCTGTGCTGGGGGCATCCTGCTCATCGCCGTGGGCATCACGTGGAGCATGTGCCAGTGCTACCCCAGGGTAGGGCACGAGGGATGGGGGCTTTGTCCTGGGGTTGGGGCTCGATGGGATCCAGGTGCTCTGGGGGAGGATTTTGGAAGCTCAGAGTGGGATCTGCAAGGTGTGGGAGCCTGGGAAAGCCTGAGCATGGCTGTGACCCTCCAGTCTCCTTGGCGGAGGGCACGGCAGGGCAGTAGCGTCCCTCCCGTGTTCGTGGCTCTGGCACAGAGGGCTTTTTTCCAGGCAGACTTTTTCTTAAGCAGATGGCAGCCACTGGACTCTGCATTTCTTCCCCCCAGGTGACATTTGTCCCTGTGCAGCCCGAGGCTGAGAAGTTTCCAGACCACAAAGCCACGCTGCTGCCGGAGAAGGGCAACCTGGAGACACTCAGGTAGGTGCTGGGGGGCTCTTAGTGGGTCCCTATGTGCCTCCCACTCCTGGGACACATGTCCTGGCAGCCATGTGGTGTGTGCATCCCCCCGTATCTCCCAGCAGCATGGGGAGCTGCCTGACACCCCGTACCCCACAGCCTGCAGGATCCCTACAGCAGTGCCTACGAGAAGAGCCTGCCCTCCTACGAGCAGGTCCAGACATCAGCACAGCCTCGGCCCCGCAGCTGCTCACAGGCACTGCTGCAGGCAAAGGCAGAGGTGCACCAGGAATCGGGGGGACCCCAAGAACACCTCCAGGAGGCAGCCCCACAGCTGGAGCCTGGCAGCTGGTACGTGGTACACATGGGCATGGGGTCAAATGCATGCTGGGGGGGTTGAACCTCGGTGCCAAATTATTTACCCTGCTGGTATCAGAGCTGGGCGAGCAGCAAGCCCAGGGGAGCATCCTGCTAACCCCACTGTCACTGTCACCCCAATCTGTCCCTGCAGCCCCTCCCAGCCACCCCTGGGCTCTGCACCACTGGTGTCCCTCCTGGAGGACATGGACACGGCCTCGCTGGAGAGCTCTGTGCCCGACAGCCCCTCATCACCCCAAGGCTGCTCTGGACAGGGTGAGCACCCCGGCTCCCCACAAAAAGCCAGCAGGAAGGTGAATGATCTCTACTATGGGCTGGGAGAGGGATCAGACATTCTGCTCGAAGACAGTGACCACCTCTTTGAGCCTGAAAAATGATGTTCCTGAGGGGACTGGTGCTGCATGGAGGGGACACCCGAAGTACAGCCCTGGCACCATGGAAGCACTGGGATGGGCACAGGGAAGCCCAAATGCCAGCGAGAAGGACATGCTGGGAAGCAGCCGGGCTGTGCCAGGCTGTGTAGGTAAGCAGCAGTGCTCCAATCCCATGGGTTGTGTAGGGAGGAGATGTCGGCAGTTTTCCCATTTATCAAAGCCTCCCTGGAATTAAAGCTGGATTCTGAGACTCCCGCAGCTGAGATCTTCCTTGTTTGTGCCCTGGAATGTTCCATTTGTCGATGGACAATGGGGTGCTCCCCACCTCCTGCATAGGGAATGGCTCCTGGGGGTTGGGGGGGGGGGGGTCTGGCAGAGCCCAAAGCCCTGGGCTGTGTGTTGCCAACTTTGGGCACTTGTTTTGAGTCATTTTGCTGGAGGTAACTCTGGCCCATCGGTTTCCTGCAACCCATATACAGTGGACCAAGGATGCTGGCCGCTCCCAGCACAAGAAACATCCCCTCCCGGGACCCTTGTGCCCCCAGCACCCATCCCAGCACTGCCCTGCCCTTCACTCACACCTCTGCAAGGTGACAAGAGCCGGGTGGCAGCTCCACAAACTCAGTGTTTGTGCCACTGGCAGGGCGGGGAGCGCTGAGCTGTTGGCTAAACAGTGCAGCAGCAGCAGCAGGGCTGGGGAGAACTGCCCAGTGTGTGCCCACATCCTTCCTGGAGCCTGGCTGCCACACAGCTCACCTTCAGCCCATGGATCCCGTAGAGCACTTGTCCCATCTCACATGGCAGCGACATTCATAGCATCACAGAACCTTTCAGGCTGGAAAAGAGCTCTGAGATCCCCAAACCCACCCCACCCGTGCCCACTGCCCACATCCCTCAGTGCCTCATCTCCAGGGCTCTGGAATACTTCCAGGGATGGTGACCACTGCATCACTCCCTTCCTGGGTAGATGCTTTTCCTGATATTCAGAGTGAAAACCTCCACCACCCTCTATGCACCTACTGGTGGGGGTCCATCCTGCAGCTCGCACAGCACCAGTGGTGTAGTGGTATCATGCAAGATTCCCATTCTTGCGACCCGGGTTCGATTCCCGGCTGGTGCACAGCCTGCTGCTATTTGTTTCCATAAACCCTTACTGAAACACCACGGCTCTCCTGAGAACAGAATCCTTCGAAGGAAAGGATTCAGTTTAAATGCAGTACTTTTTTTTTTCTTCTTTTTTCTCCTATGAATCAGATCTGTCTTCTGCAAGAGCTCCTCCTCCCCCCACCTTCCCTTATTTATTTTTCGAATTACTACATTACTATGATTATTTTTCCCATTGCCAACCCCCATCTCCCCTCCTCCCGCAGAGCTCTGGGGATGTCCACGCGGATCGCGGTCCCCACAGGGGGTTCCATTTCCCGTTTTCCCCAGAGCCGGGGAGGGGGGGGGGGAGACCCGGGGCAGCGCGGGAGGGAGGTGGGGACAGAAGGGTGAGAGCAGCGCCAGAAAGAGATCTCCGTATTGGCGGCGTGTGACGGCTCAGCGAGGAATGCCCGAATGGGATTAGAGGATTTCACGACACAGGGCCGAACGAAGGCAGCGAGAGGCACGGAGGAGCGGGGGCTCTCGGGGGCATTTGGGTTCGCAAGGGTAAAGGCGGTCATATTTGCTCGCGGTCCGGGCAGGGCCGGGGGGGGGGGGGCTGCACGCTGCACGGCGAGGGGGGGTCCGGCTGCTCGCTGCCCGCCTCGGGGCTCCCCCGTTGATGATTAACGCGTCCCGGTGGTCACGACGGCGTGATCCGCGCCGGGCAGAACTGCTCCGCCGTTCTCAGCTCCGTCGGTGCCGTCGGTGCTGCGGTGCCATGGACCCCCGGGCGCTGCTGCTGCTGCTGCTTCTGGCGGTGGCGGAGCCGGCGCTGACCCAGCGCGCGGCCGATGATGCGGCGACCGCCTTCGGGGCCGCCCCGTCGAGGCCCGCCGCTTTCCATCGGGCCGCCAAGGTGAGCAGCGGGGCGGGGGAGGGGAAAGGGAGGATTGTGCGGCTCCCCGCAACCGGACGAGAGCTCGTGCGTGTCTCTCTCCCTGCAGGAGGCGTGGCGGCTGCCCGGGCGCTACGTGGTGCTGCTGCGGGCGGGCAGCGGTGAGGCCGAGGTGCGCGGCACGGCGCGGGCGCTGCGGGTGCGGGCGGCACGGCGCGGGTACCCGAGTGAGCTGCTGCACGTCTTCAGCCTGCTGCCCGCCTTCCTGGTGAAGATGAGCAGCGACGTCCTGGACGTGGTACGAGCGTGGGGATAACGGTGTGAGCAGTGCCAGGTTGGAAAGGAGCACTAAGGTCATCCTGCCCAGCTGTTGTGTGTTGCGTCTTGGCATCTCCATCCCCTGGAGATTGGCTAAAGGCTTTGCCCAGCCTTTGGCTACCTTTGGGTGCAATCCAGGCTGTGGGGAGCTGAGAAGGATGTGTCGCACTTCCCCACAGGCGCTGAGGCTTCCACATGTGGACTATGTAGAGGAGGATGCGTATGTCTTCGCACAGAACATCCCCTGGAACCTGGGCAGGATCGTACCACCACTGCCCGGCACAGACACCTACAGCCCTCCCAGTGAGCACAGGGCGTTCCCATCCCTTAGTGTGGCAGCTCTGAGGCCCCTGTCCCCATTTTGGGAGCACCGTGCTGATTTGTTGCCTTTTCCCTGGGCAGATAAAGGTGAGAAGGTGCAGATCTACCTGCTGGACACCAGCGTGCAGAGTGCCCACCGGGAGATTGCAGGCAGGGTGTTCATCACCGACTTCCAGAATGTCCCTGAGGAGGACAGCAGCCGCTTCCACAGACAGGTGAGCCTATGTTTATGTGGCAAGCCTGGTGCTTAACCCCCCTCCTTTCTGTGACGCATCAGGGCATAAAATCATCCCTGCTCCAGGCCAGCAAATGTGACAGCCACGGGACCCACATGGCTGGGGTGCTGAGTGGGCGCGATGCCGGCGTGGCCAGAGGGACACACATCCACAGCCTCCGTGTGCTGAACTGCCAGGGGAAGGGAACCATCAGTGGGACGCTCATCGGTGAGTGCCCAACTGGGAGAGGGAGCAGCCCACCCTGCTCACCTCAGCCCTGCTCTACCATCAACCCCATCCCTTGGCCCGTACCGCAGGCCTGGAATTTGTTGGGGCATTGCTGGAAGCTCAGCCCAGCCCGCTGCTGGTGGTGCTGCTGCCCTTCGCCGGTGCCCACAGCCGTGTGCTGAACGCCGGCTGCCGGCGGATGGTGCAGATGGGGGCGGTGGTTGTTGTGGCTGCTGGGAACTACAAGGATGATGCCTGCCTGTATTCACCTGCATCCGAGCCGGAGGTACGGGCAGGGGGGTTCCCAGGCTGTGGGCACACATGGGAACATGCTGGAGCACACTGAGCCATCCGCACCCCCTTTGTCATTGCCCCTCCAGGTGATCACGGTTGGGGCCATGAACCGTGAGGACCAGCCAGCCTCCATTGGCACGCTGGGCACCAACTTTGGCCGCTGTGTCGACCTGTTTGCCCCCGGGGACGACATCATTGGTGCCTCCAGTGACTGCAGCACCTGCTTCACAGCGCAGAGCGGCACATCGCAGGCGGCTGCACACGTGGCAGGTGAGCGGGTTCCAGGATCTCTTGTGGCTCAGGGTGGGATGTGTTTGCACCAAAACTGAGTGGAAGTTGTATTTCGAGTATAGCGCCTTCGACCCTTTCCAACTCATAGAACCATAGAATCATTAAGGCTGGAAAAGACTTCTAAGATCCCCAAGCCAATCCCAGTATACCATGCCCACTGCCCACATCCCTCAGTACCACATCTCCATGGATCTGGAATACCTGTAGGAATGGTCACTCCTCCGCCCCCCGGGCAGCCTGTGCCACTGCATCACTGCTCTTTTGGAGAAAAAATTTTTCCCAATACTCAGCCTGAAGCTCCTCTGGCACAACTTAAGGCCATTACCTCTCATCCTATCACTGTTACCCAGGAGAAGGGATCAGATCATTCGGGTGCGTGTAGACGATGGGTTGCAGTGAGCTCCTCTTGCCTGTTGCTTCCCTTGATCCTGTTGTTGCCTCTCAGTCCCATCACAGCGGGCAGCCTTAGGGACCCCAGCCCACCATCATGGTGCACTTGTGTCTCTTTGGCTTTCCCCAGTTCTCACTGCATCCCCTTGGCTCCCGCAGGCATTGCAGCCATGCTGCTCAGTGCCCAGTCCCACCTCAGTGTGGCTGAGCTGCGGCAGCGCCTCCTGCGCTTGGCCACCAAGAACGTTGTCAGCAAGGCCTGGTTCCCCGAGGAGCAGCGGCTGCAGACACCCAGCAGTGTGGTGGGGCTGCCTGCCCAGCTGGGCCCAGGTGAGGGCTGGGGGATGGCAGTGCCTGAAATGTGCTGTGGGCCCAGCACTGACACCTCTCACCCCATTGCAGATAAGGTGCTGCTGTGCCGCTCGGTGTGGTCGGCACGCTCAGCGCCCACCCGGCATGCCACAGCTGTGGCTCGCTGTGCCGGCACCGAGGAGCTGCTGGGCTGCTCCAGCTTCTCACACAGCGGCTGGTGGCTGGGCGAGCACATAGAGGTGAGGCACAACGTGGCCCAAAAGTGTTGTCTGTGAGGTGCGTGCCAGTGACGCCATGCTCTTGGTCGCAGGACAAGGAAGGGCAGAAGCAGTGTGTGGCCCACAGCGCCTTTGGGGGCCGGGGGGTCTACGCCATCGCCAGGTGCTGCACGTGGCCCCACACCGAGTGCCGGCTCAGCGCCAGCTCCCAGGGCGATGACACGGCTGGCTGCTCCTTGCAGGACCACATGCCAACTGGTAACACTTTGTAACACAGCCACGGGCCCTTGGGGCGCGGAGCTCGGTGGAGGCATCCTTGAGTGCTGCTCCCACATCCCGTCTCTGTGCAGGCTGCAGCTTCCACTCCCCTGTGGCTGTGCTGGGTGACGGCGGCAGGCCCGTGCCTGGGCTGGGCAGCAGGCTTGGTGGCTGTAGGACAAGGCTGGAGGGCACAGCGCGTGCATCCTGCTGCCCTGCTGCCACGCTGCAGTGCCGTGTGAAGGAGCTCACGCCACAGGGCTCTGCAGACAAGGTACGGAGCAATGCTGTGTGGCTGCACCTCGTCCAGGTGACGGTGCCCATCCGTCCTTCTCCTTGCAGGTGACGGTGTCCT